TATGTATGTATGTATGTATGTATGTATGTATGTATGTATGTATGTATCTTTCGGTAGTGGACGTGATTGCATAAGCGGACATGCTCCAATTTTTATAGTTATTGTAAGATAAGCATTCCTCACACATATCTATTACATATCCATGTTAGCTTGTGAATAAAAATCAAGTAAGTTTAACTGAATCTTAACTTGGTATATGGTAAAATGCTGGCACTTTCTAGAATGACCAGTCGATAAAAACACATATTCAAGGCATTGTGGGTAATGTAGTTTTCAAGGGTTATTTCTCTATTGACTTGTGATACACGTATAACCGAATTTCCCTTGAACAACCTATTCTAGCATGGCAGTTTTCTTTGAAACTTAGAAAGTACGTTCAGTTTGTTTGATTTGACTTGCTTTTTTTTTTTAACTGCCATAGAATACGCGCATATAGCTGTTCCGCCGCTAACCGGGCGACCGTGTGGCTGAAAAGAAGGGGAACATGTTCCAGTACAATAATTAAAAACCACCTTATAACATATGTGTCCCAAAAATGACTAGTATTACGTGGAAACCAGCGTCTGAAAAAGGTGCTTTCTCCCTCATTTGCGTGTTGAATTTCGACATGGTGAGACCCCGGTTTAAGAGATGAGATGAGTGAAGCACATATGTTGCCTTATTTTAGTCAATCTGAAGATCTTTTTTTTTTTTTTTGCAAAATAGTACGCTGAAGATGATGTTTTCATATCTATCAGTCACAAATGTTTTTTGATCAATTAAACGGGATTAAATTGTCTGCTTCTGAAACGGAAAGATTTAATTTACATGACACGCTTGTTAGAATTGGCTTGCTAACTTTAGAGTTTTACTTTATTACTGAAATTCATGTGACTTGCTAATAGTTCTGTTCATTTTAAGAATTATACTCAGACACTGAACTCATGTTATGTCTATGGTTGTACTATCAAATTCCTCTTCTTCCTACTGGACATTAGATACACGTCTTTAAGGACAACACTCAGAGACACAGTATCACATTTCAGTGGAATCTGCTTGAATTGGGAGCTGGACTGATCATTACAGAGGGTACTGGCCAACAAGACTAGGTTGTGTCCAGAATTCGCACTGTGCGGGCAGGCCCAAAGGGGATAAGTGTCCATCACACTTGGAAATCTGGGCTCTTTTCTGATGGAGATCCTCAGGGAACTTTGTCAATTTGAGCCCTGTGCGCTAATTTACTTGACCTGTGACCTGAATAAAATACACATTTGCCAATCTGTGGTTTATTCTCAGGCTTCTGATAAAGAACCGGGCTGACAGGCAATAAACTACTTTAAACGTTTCATTAGAAATTTGGCAGGTTCAGCACTTCTAAATTTGTGTTTATATACAGTTGTTTTTTTTTTAAATAGAAAAGATATGGTAGAGGGAGAATTTGAAAAATGAAAACGATTTTTCTTTAAACAGGAGTGATTCGTTCTTCAACAAGCATGTCTTCTAATCATGATGCTTACCCGCTTGATGAGGAAATTTGTTTTAAAAAAGAATGGCAATCTTTGTTGAAATAATCATTGTTCCGTAATCTCTGGGAACATCTTATGGATTTGGGATGCTTGCTTCTTTTCGGCTGTGGAATCGAGAAAAAGTCAACCGGCTCAAAAAGCAGAAACACCATCCACAGCGCTGCCCCAAGTGGGTGGACAGCCACGCAACCCACATCCAGAGCAGAAAAAGAATAAGAACACAGGGAGAGATGCAGCGCAGTGAAAAATAACTTTAATAAAACTCCTATGAAAACAAAAAACAGCAAAACATTAAAAGCCTGTACGTTTGACAACATCCAGTGTCTGAGACTTCAAAAGGCGAGTGGTGCGAAATACAGCTGCATCATACATAAACCAGCAGATAAAATGATTATAGGCTAAGGCCTAGGCCCATGGTTTTATATGATAAGATATGGGTCATATACTCGGATATTGCACAAAAAAAAATCAAATGCAGATGCTAGTGGAGGATCATATGTAGCTTCGCATTGAAGAATAATATCCTTACTGATTAGTCCAACCTACTTAGGCCACAGATTCCTCTTGCATCTGCCTGTATAAAAAACAAATAAAAGTAAAAGAGCGGCACATTTTTGCACATTCATTTTGGAAACAGATCAATAAAAACACAATTTAAAACAACATAACTTCTCAAAGTTTGCTTTTTGTTTTGGTCTGAACAGGTTAAGAGCGTCAGCTGCAGTGACATTAAGATGGAGGATGTGAATGGCCCTTTAAAAGATGACAAACAAGGTAGTGATAGTAATGCTTTTCAGTCTATGATATTAAAAGAAACATTAAAAAAAGGTTAAGTTCATGAAAAGATGCTTTGAACAACTAATGTCTCTCGGAAAGCATTCCAGTGTTCAAGTGGACCATAGGGCTCAGAAAATCTCGTCTCCAATCAATCCCTCTCTTTTTGGGTTGTTTCCCCTCGCAGTTTTTGTTTTGACTAATTCTTAAACTGCAAAAAGAACCACATGAACAATACAATCTTCCTGCACTTTTGAGGCACACTTTAAGACAGCAGGAAAGAGTATCAAGGTGCACTTCCTGTGGTCATGCAGTGTTTAGTTTTAAGACAGGAGGGTTGCGTGTTTGTGTCTCTTCTTCTCAGCCCCCTCCACACCTATCCGTTATCTTTATCTCGCTTGAAACACTCCAAGGTTAGAGTAAGAAAATGTGTCTCTTTCATTCACGCGGAATTTCAAGCCCATTAAAAAATTAAGCCACTCCCAAACTTAACCTTTGATTACTATTGTTTCAGCCCGCTCCGTTTGGACAGTTCATCTCTGAAGACTTGCCGTGGGAAAGTGGGTGTCTCAGTTCCATTCCATTGGATGTTTTCTTCAACAAACTGTTGTGCCGGTGCAAAACTTGCAATGACATCACCTACCATGATTCCACAGAAATGTCAGGCAACCCTGAATTTGGTAGTTTGTGGGCACAATGCTGGGGTGACGACGCCAAATGGAATACAGGAAATAAGGGTGCAGGGTAATTGAACTACTTCAGAGTAGGGTTTCTTCTGTATGTACAGCACACAGCGGGTGGGCAAATCTGCTCAGGTTCCACATCTTGGCAAGATTCCCTTCTTTAAATCAGGGCATTTGCCAATCAAACTTCCTTTGCACTTCTCGGGCCTTCCCCACATGCTCCCACCCCACCCACAGCGTCTCTTGGCCTTTCAGCCTTTTTTATGGGTTGCAGCAGCTCTAGGAGCGGTTGTCTTTGGCTACATTGTGAGCCATCCAGTTCACCTTGGTTGTCCAGCTCTCTCTCAGGGCTTCGTCAAACTTCTGACGGAACTGCTTCAGGGCATCTTCGTCTGTTTTACCCAGAGCCAGAGAGTCCTGGGATGGAAGAATAGTGTGGAGATAGAAATTAGTCCATTATTCCATCCATAGGCAAAAGGGGGTGGTGAACAATGACACATATACAGAATAATATGCTGTTTTAAATTAGCCAATACAACAGCCAAAGTACTTGCAAGTGCTAAGGTAGCAACGGTTTGATGGGTGCAGAAAGACACGGTTCATTATTGTTCAGTATAACTACTTCAGAATTAGGACATTACATGTGCCAAATTCAGCAAGTCAATGCTCATTGATAAGCAACAGGATAACAAAAATGCTCATCTTCAATAAAAAATGTAAGTAACGATTCACATAGAGTTGATGAATAAAGTCTGATTTACATTAAAGATGGTTGTTACATTCTATGGAATGCATTTAGCGCTAATGTTAATAGTTATAATTTAACAGTGTTGACAGATATGGTCTGATCTGTGCCTTAGATGGCCATTAAAATTTGGATCAGCTACTGATTGTGGTCAGTGATGCACCAGATAGAAACAAAATTGGATGGCCAAATATTAGCCAGGGCATCAAACAGTGAGCCCACTGAGACGACTGTGTTACATCAAGGTGGTGGTCATTGTCAGAGCCACAGTATGTGTTGGCAGTTGGTGGTGAAGTGACCTAGACCCGGTGGTTTTCTTCCTACGTACAGTCATCATACTCTGTTATACAGTGATTTTTGTACAGTGAGCTTACCTACATTCCCTACAGGGAATGTAAGGAGGCTTTTGACTAAAAACTGACAAGACAAAACTTTGAAAAACCTACAGTGTATAAAGTAAATTATACTAAAAGTCCAAGTAAACCAAAGCTTTCTCATCAATTCTGTTTATTTTGATTTTAGGCCGTTTGTGTTGAGGTGGTTGAGTGATCCCTGTGCAACCACAGCAATGGGTATAGTGACTGACTGTGGTCACAACGCCTTTCTCGACAAGTCAGAGGAAAAGGAAGTATACTTGTGATGGGACAAAGAAACAAGCAATTTACTATGTTTTTTTCTCCTTTCTTATAGTCTATGCAGCATGATCTTTTGACGATATTGCTTCCATGTATCAAAGTAAACAACACAGGGCGTTGCAATAACTTTTTCTTTTTTTTAAATTCAGTGTCTACCTTGGAAAAAAATGCTTTTGAGGTAGTTTTGTGTGGTTATGTAGAAAACCTTTCATGACTTGGGCAGCTGAAGCTGTGGAAAGTATTTCTTTTAAATCGGCAATACCTTTAAGTATTGGATGTCTTTGACTGAAGTGAGCTCAGGCAGTCCAGCAGTTAGCATGAGGGCAAACAGCGTGATGAAGAGGTTGCCATTTTTCCTCAAGATCAGATAAGCCTCTTCACAGTATTGACGAAAACTGCAAGAAGCAAAAGAGACATGTACACAGGTCTTTATTGCCAAGGCCGGTATAAAAATAATAAAGAAGGGGACAAAATAATGGGGTGGGTGTATCTGTGAGTTTACACAAAACATCTCTAATGTGAAGTTATTGTTTTGTATGAATTTGTGTCTCTGGTGAGCAGGAACACATAAACCCATCTAAAACAATTAAGATATTAACGGAAATCTTTCATAAAAGAAGGTTCATCTGCAGCTGAATAGCGTAATAAGACCCCCCCCCCCCCAAAAAAAACTGTCTTGCATTGACTTACAATACCGTCCTTGAACAGAAATTAAAATAACATAAATAGACTGATATATTTTGACTTATCACACATTAACCACCATCACCCCCTAAAAAAAAAAGATGAGTTTTGAAAACAACTCACAGAACAACTCCAGCAAAGGTAAAGTAGATCTGCGTAGTTTGGGTTTTTTTCTTGGAAGTTTAATTTTCACTCTTTATTATCTGAGGATTGATTAATGACCTTAATGTCGTTGCCCGCAGACTGTTAAAAAACGGGTGACAAGCACTTCCTGTTTGCCTCAGACCAAAGAATCCTTTGTTTCAATGGAGAGGAAACAGCACAACACACAGTCACTGGCTTTCTTGTAGAATCATTAAAGCTTCCTAAATGCAGTCATTTAGAGCAACACATTTACAGGTTTACAATTACATTAATGAATGTCTGGCTTGGTTTTGAATGCGTAGCACCGTATCCTACAGAACATTCTTCTTCCACTTTTCTATTTTGCCTCATTTGCGGATGACATGAAGACAATGATCTGGTGAGTGTACAGTTACGTAAACCCACATAAAGCACACTTGCTGACGCAGCAACGCCTCAAAAATGTACCAGTCTTTTTTTAAAATAAATTATTTATTAAGTGTGCAGGTAAATTCTCAGGGTTGTACTTGCATGATTCACAGGCACCATGCCATAATGGATGTCAGTTGTTGTATGAGGGTTTAAATGACACAAGCATGCCAAATACTAATTAATACCATTTTATAACTTGAGCAGCTCCAGTTGCTTTTGTTATGATGTGGTTGTGTCAAGTCAGGAACACTTATAATAATAAAAACAACAACGGATGTTCTAACAGTACACTACTGCTGCATAAGCATGGATGTCTTTACAGATGTTTACCTTCTTGTGGTACAGCCCTCAATGTAGATATGTAACTAGGCCATAACAACAGATTGCTGTGCTTCATGCCATGGGTATTTCTACTTTCATGAAATGATTATGCTTTGCCTGTCTTTGATGTTTACTTGGCACTAAGCAGAACTGCATAATCAGGCCTTTGCACACTACAGTTGCCCATACAAGACTGTACTTATGTGACCTCAAGTTACAACAACAGGGATGCAAAGGTTTGTACTCATGTGATTGGAAACAGAGCTGGGTTTTTTTCACTTGAGGTGGTGCCAGAAGTTCAACTTAACTGTCTTTATATAAAAACGAAACACTTTCCTGGCCAAAATTCAACGAAATAAGGGTACCTAACTGTCCTAAAATATTTCATAACTTTTGCCCTACCTTCCAGAAATGGCTTATTACATCCTCTTACACTCTTATTTATCTGTGTGTGCAAGTTATCTGAGTTAAATCAATACGTTTTACAACCATGCAGAGTGTATTAGTGAGAACAATTATCAATCAAATAATAAAAAGCATATCATCCTATTTAAAAATGGATTATAACAGTGCATTCTGTGAATTAACTGCTCATGAATGAAGCAGTCTCCAAAGCAGCTTGCTCTGGGGACTTCCATGCATGAATCTCTACTGCAGCCTGCTGGAGGGAAAGGGTACTGCACTAACAATATTCCATCTTCACAGTTATGGTGCAACAATTTTGTTAAATTGCCATAAATATAGATTATATATGTACTGGAAGCAATTCAACACTCGACCCCTTTTATTTCACAACTCATGTAGGGCACCAGTTTTTCAATCTCAACATATAAAAGTAATAAAACATAAGCAATCTCAGTCTCATTTAAATTATTTCACAGGTGTGTTTAGATAAAGTTATCTGATAAAATGGTTGTTTTGACATCAGATTAAATTAGCTCTATCCTTGTATGTTCCCAATAAAGACACTTAAGTGGTGAAATAAAGAAGAAAAATACAAAGAAGAAAAAAAAACATCAAATAAACAGAGTCGGACAAACCTGCCAAATTTTTCTGTGTATCCAGTCTTCCCTTGCTGAATGACATGAATAAAATCATGTGTGAGGATGAATGGGACACGCTCCCTTTTGATACCAAACTTGGACTTGAAGTTGCCCAGGATGTGACCGAAGTCTATGTGAAAGAGCTAACACAACAAGACAGTAAGTGAAAATCTAAATAATTTAGAAAGTCTGATGGAGTCTGCATTCTCATACCATATTAAAAAACAAAACAAAAGAAACTGTCAAACCTGTCCAGTGCTGCGAACCATGATGTTATCACTATGACGGTCTCCGATGCCCAAGACATAAGTAGCTACACAGTAGCCTGCACATGACAAAGTGAACTCCTCAATGGCTCGGTCAAGAGCGTCACTGTATTAAATAAATAAAAATTAATTGAAAAAAAAAGAAGACAAGCAAGGTGCAAAAATAAACAAATGTTACACATATGTAAACCATAACAGTGAATGTGCAGTTGAATATTCCCATAAACCTACCCAGAGTTTCTCTCTTTGAGCCAGTTGAGCAAAGCATCTTTGTTGAATGCTGCAGCTGCTGCAACATTGCTGCTGGTCAACTGAATGTTAGCGATTGTGTCTGCTGATGAAACTACCTCTATTAACCCGGCCCGGTCTCCTGTTGCTAGGCAACCATATGGTACAATTCTGTAGAGAAAAGAAAATACATGATTATGAATTTACTTCGGGAAGTTATCCTGAGATCATCTATGGGTGGATAATAAAAAGTGGCAAGTTTAGTCAGGGTATTGATTTGAAATCATTCAAATTAATTTTTAATGGCAGCAAATTGTCACCCCTGGCCAAAACTATTTTATAAAGCATGAACTACAAAAATGATCACACAATGCAGTGTTACACTTTTTAGTTTCAAGTACATTTTGTAAATGTATTTAATAGACTTTTTATGTTAAATGACACCTAATCTTTTAGTAAAAACTAGAATTACAAGGAATTATGAACAATTTGTTACCATAATTTAGATCATATGCACATATGGTGATGTATTGTCAAAGGTGTATGGATGTCAAAGTAGTGAGTTTTTTTTACAATTTTTATGGGCACCATAAAAATCCATCTTTCATTTTTCATTTTCCATCTGTCATTTTCAGGGAATTATATACAATAAAACCAAAATTATATAACATTTTAAAATGGGTCTAAATTGAGACAAAGACAACAGGAAGGTTGTAATGCAATCATGTGGTTGCTAACTATGGTAACTATGGATCCAGCAACAAAGTAAGCATCAGCCATGGCTCAGGAGTCTGTCCTGTCTTATTAGTTACTCTGATGTCAGAATTCTCCATATGTGTGAGTTGCAAAACGAATGCAAGCCTTTGCTTTCAATAACTGATGTAAACTCCTTTCTTGGCAAATGTATTTTAAACATTCCAAGAAATTCCTGATCAGTCCTGCACATCAGATTGAGGGACTTTCAGTAAATTCCTCTGTTTAAAAGAAGCTTAAACTCTAGAATGTTGGTGCGTTTCTACAATTTCCTGAATTGCTTCGCATTTTTCCCAGACATCTGTTTTGGACAAAAGCCCTCGTCATTCCAAAGCACGTGTTGACTAGTCTCGAATTTTGTGCCGAGAGTTGTTTCTTTGCTGTAAGACCCATTCTTTAAGTAGAATCACCACAAACATCAAAGTTCAGATATTTTAATTTAGATTTCACATATTTCTGTTCAATTCGTATACCGTAATTAACAATAACATGGTCAATCACTTATGGCAGTCAAAAGGGGGCCCAAATGGTGACACCACCATGTTCCTCAGAGGAAGCAGGATTCCTCAGCAGGACAGCAGTGTTGTCCCACTTTAGGTTCATCCCTCCATGAATAATTATTCCACCAGAATTTAGACCCAATCCAATATGGCAATAGCTTGACTTCTAGGGATCCAGAAAAACGGAACTTGTAACAAATTTATATACCATTTTAATCATAATTGTATTATGATTTTATTAATTTGCTTTTTTTTATTTTATAAAAAGCTCTCAGTGTATTGGCACGGCACCACTCAGTCTTATACAACTAGTGCTCAATGGACTACTTTTAATGGAGACCAAATGCCTTTGAGGCACTTACCCATGTGAATGGGTGTTTAATTTACGTCAATGAGAAATAAAGAGTTGACAGGCAAGGGTATATGTGGTACAATATACCATATAACATATATCATAGTGGTTTAATTATTCAGTCCCTGCTTTCACGTCCAGTGTCCAATCTAAACCAATATCTCTGTAACCTGAAGCATGGTCCAAAATCTCAACTGTCAAAATAACCCTCCTCAATGCTCAGATCCAGATGTTTGAACGCAAGATGATGAGAGCAAGTGTGAAAGGGCTGGATTTGATTAGGGTGGAACTAAAATATTGTATCTGAGTGAGTGATGGTGTATGGATGTCTGGGGTATATGAGGGTTGGAAGTCAAATAGCATGAGGTAATTAGGCGCATGTCCTCTGCTGCACTCCACCAGAACTTCCCCTTCCCAGCTTGGAGCTGGGAAGCGGAAAAAACAATCTCCAGCAAGTCCGTCCTCATGAATGTACAGGCAAACGAGCACACAGATGAATGCCCATAAAACACTCACCTGAGGTCCAGACTGGCCTCCTTCCACAGAAGATCCATTAACCTCAAAATCTGCAGAGTTAACATGTCCTGCCTAAGGTCTGGAAAACAAAAGAGAATATGAAAAGGTAAGAGGGAGCCATGATTTAAAAAGGAAGTGTTTATTTATTAACATACGAAAAGTGAAGATTTCAGTTTCTCATTGAACCATTTACCGCCTTCCAGCTCACAGTATTCTCTCTTTTGCATCTCAGACCCTTACCGTCTCCATTTTTGAAGATGATTCCAAGAGTATCTCCACCCAACAGCTTATTATTGTAAACAATCCAGAGTGGTTTCATCTTAGAGTCCATGTATCGGCACCTTTCCACACTATTGAGACATGGATGGAGGAAATGTTCATCCTAAATCTGACACTCATCTGCTTCCTGTCACAGGAGAATAGATCATAGGAAAAGCAGTAATCTTACTTGATGCCAGACAGCAGGACATTAGGGTTTAGGGGGGAGTGCAGGTCTGACAGAGTTTCTGAGTAGCCACTTTGTCTTAAACATGTCATCATGGCCTCCTTGGTCAGCATTGCCTCCTTGGTTTTACTCCGGGCATTCTTAATAGTTCCCAGTTTAATAAGTTCATTCACTGACTTCAGCTTACTTAAGGCTTCCACCTAGTAAAGAGAGAAAGAGAGTAAAAAAGATAATGTTCAAATAGGGCCACAGATTCCAATTCTTTTTTTAAGCATTAGCTAAATCATTCCAAGAGATCTCATCTTGTACTGAGAGCAGATGGCATTATATTCAAACAGACATTGTTTATGCTCCTTCCAAAAAGGAAAGCGGTCAGATAAACAATGAGGAAGTGGTAGGAAGTCTCTGAATAGTGATTGTCAAAACCAACATTACAGAGGGCAAAGGTGAGAGGGCAGGAAGAGTGACACTTCTGTCACAATCGCATGCAACAAAACATATAACTCTAATGTTAAGTGTAGACCAATGCTAAATTATCTATTATTTATTATTATTTCTATCAGATACATATATATACACACGTGTATATATATATATATATATATATATATATATATATGCGTGTGTGTGTGTCACTTGCCTGTTTCTTTAGAACCTCAATATGAGGGATGCTGCCTCTGCAATAGGCTTCCAAGATGAGTGCAAACTGGACTGAAACAGCTGGCATGTGAATCTCTGACCTGTAGAGGGTAGTAGAAATGCGGTATGAACAAAGACTTGCACCCACAGTTAACCTTTTAAAAAAAAAAAAAAAAAAAAAAGTTTTTTACCGCTTTCCGGTCACTTTCAATGTACAGAGCACACATTCATGTATTTTAGCAAGTTACACACCGCAAATGCCAGAAGAGGAAATGTCCAATCTTGCGGTTCCCCTGAGCTCGTTCCAACAGGAAGTGAGTGAGGGCGCAGTCATAGTAGGGCTCATAACGCAACACCTGCACCAACTGTAGCAGGTACTGCGACAGTTCCTCATCACTGATGGACGGAGGAAGGAAGAGGAAATAATTTCAACATTTAAATGGGCAGTATGTCTCCTTGTACAAAAGAGCAAACAGACAGCCTCATTCAGTGGCATGGACACTAAAAAAGAAAATAGCTAAATTGTTTAAATCAATTTTAATCAAATATAGTGGATAAAGTAATATACAAAAATAAAGGTGTGGGTGGGTATATATTTACCTCATATCACGCAGGCAGCCAACAGCATACTCTCTGACATACTGATCAGGGTAGTTGAAGTCCAGAAGCTCAAGAGCATCTCTGGGACTCAATTTGGGCCAAATCTGAAGTAGTGCCTGCAGCTGAGGGATAAACACATACACACTCACCAACCAGTAACAGAAATGTACAGTCACTGTGTAGCTGAAAAAAGCTTTGAGTTGATGATTGATCACATGGGTGATCATCGATAGTAGTAATGAACCCCATAATAATTAAAGACACAGCTGCAATTGTGATTCTTCTTTATCCACCATGAAAGAACAACATTCAGGATGATTAGGAAACCCACCAGTAACATTTATTAAACTGCTAAGGTAGGTAATGGTATTCATAGCTTGCTATGAGAATAATTTGAAGTACTTTTTAGTTAAACTAGCACTTCTTATTGAAGGAAAAGGCATTTGTTATATTTAGGTTTAATGGAATAAGGGAAATATTTTGGTTCACACAATCTTTGAAACATTTTTGACAGATTATATCAAATCTCAAGGTGAGAATGGTGTTCTGTCAGCGTGGGACATTTAACTGTTGTTTTCAACATCTTCCATTTCAAATTCAGATGCACTGATTTAAATTTTGAGCAAAATAATGGCGGTCCTAAACTACCCTGAAACTACTATACAAAGAGAACAAATGCAAAGGAATTTAAGAGAAGAATTTTATTTTACAAAAATTATGTAAATTGCTTTCAAACGACTCAAGACTTAAATACAAGTGAAATGTGGGTTCTGGTTAACTGGTAAGTCAAGTTTTGTGTCTTTCCTTTGTCTACAGTAGTGAACCTGTTTGTTTATTTTATGGTTGAAAATATTTTCTTACTTCCACACTGATCAAAGACTATTCGTGAATACCATCTCAGATTTAACTGTGGACTGTGGATTTCATGCACTGGAAGTTTCAAAGATCCTTTCTTTACATTTTCATCCCAATACATTAATGCAATTTAGAACTCAATGACTGACCTTCAGGTTTGAACTATAAAGCAATCATGAATGGTTGAGTTGAAAGACTGGGTAATGTCTGCAGTACAACCTCTTTTCATCAGTTTGTATTAAAGAGTATGCAGGCTAACCTGGGCCATGTCCTCGTGTTTGCTCCACTTGACTGAGAGTAGCAGCTTGGGTAGAGACTGAGGGAAATTATCCCGGCAGTCATTTCGTAGTGTCCAGATCAAATCCTTCTCGTTTTCACAAAGCTGTGAGAGTGGATCGCGCTCCATGATCTCCTTCAACTCTATGTGGAACTTCTTACCTCCACGGCCCTAAAAAAAGATTAAGAAATGAGTGACAGCAGTAACTTTATACATCCACAGGAGGGCAGCAGCACATCAAAGTTCTCACCTACAGCAGCCAATGCTCAATGATGATTATCATATAAATATATCTATTTAAAAAAAAAAAGCATTATATTAGAAGATAGGGCTGTTCATTGAAACATTATCTTAAAGCAGCTGTAGTAGTGAGTTGTGCTGGGCTCCATGCTAAGACAAGGTGACTCTCGGAAAAAAAAAAAAAAAAACAGTCCTCTGTAGCTGAACATAAAACTTATAACAAGGCTGCGTGCAGACCTGCCCTATGTGCAGCACAGGATTACATAACCAATCGTAACACACCCAGGCAGAGTGTTTTAGTTAAGGGGCAATGAGACAGGAAGACTGACAATCTGATCAAAGCATTTTCACTTTCAACTGGTCGGCCTTCCAATGCACTCTGAATGAATGAAATAATTTCAAATGTGTTAACACAATTTTTTATGATTGTACAATGTCTCACCATAGGTATGCAGTCATTTGCACTGGCAATTTCTGCAGCCTTTTCCAGTATCTGTAGAATAAACGAACAACAGAAAAGTAAGGGAGTGCTGTGTGAGTGAAAACACATATCACTTCCAGTTACAGTGCATTAAGCAAGCAGAGCACGTCCTGATCCTCTCATGCTAATAGCCCCCACTTCATCATAATCACAAGGTACTGCTATGGTGACTGCTGCACTTAGGCCTTTCAAAAAGGCCATGCTGATTGTATCAGGTTCTGGTTAATATTGTGAAAATTTCAGCATGTTTTTGTACATCAATGCAGGAGTATTTGTTCAAGTGCTAACATATAAGTCACAACCCAAAGCTTTTTGGCAAGCACTGAATCAAAGGAGAAGGTTTCTATGATACAAGCAAATTGCAGTCTAACCTTGTCAAAAGGAGGAAAGATGATGGAGTGTGAGGAGTATTCTGGGAAGTGGATGTGCAGTGCTGTAGCATTCTCAGTGTACGGATTGGTCTGAACAGTTCCTATTGGGTTCAGCATCTCTTCAAGTTCATCTGGGTAAGACAAGCACTTTCATTACACAGGAGTTCTGAATATGAAGCTCATTTTAATCACTTTAATTATTTAAAAGAATTGGTTCGTTTGAGTGTACCAGGAAAGGAAGACCAGGAGTGCAGGATGATGTCTCCAGTCTTCAGCTGCCCTTTGTAGTCAAACACCATGGTGTTGACCCAAGCTATGGGGTAGTGCTGGATCAGGCAATCAATTGTTAATTCAATAATACAGTCTACGCCTATGTTTGGAAACAATCACCAGTGGTCAAACTTACCACTTTCCCTGCCTTGCGGATGGTCTGGTACTTGTTTATGTGAGCATTTTTTGTGGACTTCTGCTTTTTGACCTTATCCATGACGGCATAAATGGCAAAGCAGAGGCGGGTCATGCGTGGCAGATCACAGACTGAGATGTCGAACTCCAGCATGCTGTCTTTCCAGGTATGGTCTGAGCGTCCGCTGCTCTCACTGCTCACTGCCGGCTTGCACAGCAGCTCTGTGCCGTGAAAAAGCCCTGCCCTCACCTGGACCTGAATATGCAGGCATGCTGGTATTTATCCAAATTATGCTAAATTTGACTTTTTTTGTGAAAAAACAAGCACCCTGAATTTCTCTGTGGGTGAGACTTCTGGCAGTTATGTGTGCTGGTTTTGTAGGCACCATGCTATTTGTAATGCAATTGTAGATTCAGTGATGTAGATAAGTTTGCAAAAAAAGAAAGAAAGAAAAAATAGCGTAAAATCAGACTAATTTACCTTGGCAGTCTCCTCTGCGTTCACCTTGCTGCCTTTCACCAGGACTATCTTAAATAGACTAGACACATCCCACACACACGTCTGTACTTGCTGAAAAGGAAAAGTGAGAGCAGAAAGAGAGAGCTGTTATGACTGAGCAGGATTCTCATTATGCATTGTGAAAATATGCACAGAACTCTGCCTCTTCACACCGACCAGTGCTCCGCACAGATACACAAACAATGAGGGAGGTCAGGGGGGTCACTATGATGTCAAGCCAAGTGGATTTGCGAGGGTCAGCAGAACAAACGGCATCACATGACACACAGAAATCATGAACATGACTAACCAGCACACTTCCTGCTGTTTGCTGCCTCTCGTTCTGAAGGACATTCAGTGTCTTTAAAAATCCCATGTGAGTGTGATGGTGCATGTCATTTCTAGTCCCCTTATCAGATATGAAACTGCTGTGGGCTGCATCTATTTCTATGTGAAAAACAACCATCCCTTTGTTCTATTTTTTGTCTTTCTTTTTACTGATTATCAGTTATGTTTCACAATGCACGAGAACAGCCCTCAAATCATGTAAATACATTTAATTTCTGTCACAAATAGTCATATTTGACCATTGAGCTTTTGACTCTGACTTGCAATGGTATCCATCCAATCTCTCCACTGCGGTGCTTATTCAAAACCATAACTTTAATCTAATTTATTCCAGCGGTACTTCTCAATCATCAACCAATTGTGCATAGATTTGATAGATAGACAAATTGACCAAAACAAATCAGTGAGGATTCTTTAAAACAAGTCTCACTGACTCCATTCACCTTTGTTCCTGAACTTAAACAAAATTAAGATTTTCGGGAAAGTTACCCGAGAAAGTTAAGTCTTAGTCTTGTCAGCCAAAAGTTGGATCTTTGTTTGTAAGGGGAAAGAAAAATGTTCAGTGTGGAACGTTTCTCTGTTGATTGGAAGACAATAGGCTCAACTAAACTATTAACTACTCCAGATGCACGAAGATGAAAATAGTTATGATAAAATTAGTCAGGTAACTACTAAGATGAAGACATAGTAGTAAATTTTTATGGCTTATAAAATGTCAAATGCTTTAGCTCCACATTTGCAGATAATGTTTTACCAATTCTTAGTTGCGAGAGCAGTGATTGCGAAAAGCACCAAGATGCTGATGTTGTCAGGGAAGTGTGGAAAGGTTTAGCTGCTGCTTTAACAGGGCTATGACACCTAAAAGGGCTCACCTCTCATATATCCATTCTCTCTCTAAACCACACATCAAAGCTATATCTACAGAGAGCACAGCATCAGGCAATTAAAACATCAGGACACTCACCAACAAGGTCAATTAAACACAGCCTGACATTTGAAATGTGGGTGCGGACGCTGAGCAGTGGCATCACTGTGCACCTGGACCGGAGGAGCAAGGATCTCCCAGTTTTCTGACAACGTGGCAATTGCTGGCAGGACGCTGCAACTTGCTCTGCCATTTTGGAACTCTTCCTTATGATAGGCAGGTGGCATATGCCAAGCACATTTACTTTGTAAAATTCTATACGTTTTTGGTTATTCGCATGAGAATAAATCAAACTAAGGTGCTTTGGCTATTTCAATGTGGTAGAAACACTACATTGTCAACTGAAAGCTTTTCTTAAAATCACCAATAGAAAGCAATCTTGCCACAGGCAAAACTATACATGAACGCCTATTCAAGCGAAAATAAAAATAAGTAGTTTGGTTCAATTTGACGGACAGTTAGTGATCATGTGTGACTGACTTTAAAACACAGTTACTTCACAAGCAACAGCAGGTGTTGAATAGATGCAGTCACCACAACAAGGAAGTGAGAGACACATTCATTCACGTTCATTCTGTCAGCCAAACTGGACTAACCGTGGGAACTCTTCTCTTGGGAGGTAGCGGTAGAGGAGGGTTGGAGGACTTGCGGCTAACCACAGCTCCGATGGCAGACATTTCTTTGTCAAACATGGCCTTTACAGTGCTTGTGTGGACCAGAGTGAGGTGAGGAGGTTCCTTGGCTTGAAGGCATGTGCGAATATACTGTGTAGAGGGGAGGAACGGAGCCCATTTAAGTTGTGTTCATTTTCAGGCAATGTTAAAGAGATAAACACTGAAAGAAATACAGTGACAAGAGCTTGTCATTCCATAACTAACCAAATTTAATCAGATTTAATTCAAATAGACTAGACATTTGACCTCTTTAGCTCCCTACAAAACTGTGTTTTGAATAGCTCAGTTTGTAAAACTAAAGTGTAATAAAGTTCACCAAATTTATACCTTACTCCAAGCGTGAGGCGAGATCATTTTAACCCAAAAGCATTCCTAAAACTCTTTGTAGAAAATCTTTGCCATGACTTTGTTGAAAAGCTTAAAAATGCGTTTGACTGATAACAAGTTTAGAATTTCATGCATGGTACATTTCTTCTTAAAACCTACATTAAAATATAATGTCCTGTAGAACCAACTAAAAGCACGTTAGACTGGCTGGAACATAATAGGAGATCTGGTCATTTATTATAACCTGAACAAAAAAACAACAAATGACAATGTATGAATGGAAAATAGCATCTCCTGAAAACTATTCCGTCACAACTGACCTTGTACTGAATCAAGGGGTGGTTTCCACATAGGAACTCTAGGCACTGACTAACTCTCAGTACATATTGACCCCTCCATTCCTCTTCTTCAGGCGCGTGGGTGGTCAGCCACTTCCTCACAGCCATCTCCATCAGCTCAGAGGGGGTGAGAGACGATGGCACCTTCAAACTGGTTGAGTCCTGGAAGAAAAGAAGAAAAAAAAAAGAAAAAAAGAGGGAAATTGATGGTTTAAAAAAAGAAGCACAATAGACATTAGGAGATGATGTAGAGAGGTTTTTGTGACAGTAATTTTCTTTTGGTAATGAAAATGAGCAACATCTTCACTGGTTCCTTCAAAATGCAGCAGTTAGAACTTTAAAGTACCCTCCCCATCCATTAAAGACCTGAGACAAATTAACGAGTACATGAACACACAAATATACTTTATCTTTGTTCTAAAATGCATTTAAACCCATACTAGCCCTCCACACTGAATCACTCACAGTCCAATTCGCTCTGAGGCTCAACACTCGCTGCTATTTATAGCTCAACGCTGACCTGATACCAGAGATTGAATAGTAATTTCCTGGAGGTTTTGTTAAAATATCATCCACTGATAATTAACAAAACCAGAGTTGCATTATGGTAGTACTACTGCCTTTAAGACAGGTGAAAAAGCGAACCAAAAACACCTCACAAGGGATATTGGAAAGTGAAACAATATGCAATATGGGATTATGTGAACAGAGCAGAGGCTTGCTGATGAAAACGTGCCAGTGATATGGCTGAAAAGAAGGGTCACACTGAATCCCAGCCAGATTCCCATTGAACAATAAACTGTTCCGGCACACTTCCTGTCTGAAATGGAGCTTATTGTGTCTGACATCCCAAATAAGACTTCCTGACAATTTCCACCTGAGTGCAGAGGGACAGATGGCCTGCCTTTGTGTATGTGCACATGTGTGCCTGTGATGTTGATCAAAGCTGATATACAAAAGTCTGGAGGGACATGAGCATCTGTTTTATTATTAGATCATATAATTTCTGTCCAAGCAGCAATGGGACAGACCGGGAGGCAACGAGCAAGTGAGTAGGAAAGGAAGAAGGAAAGGGGTTCATTTTAATCAGTGTTTTGGTCCCTTGAGCCAAATCGCTATTATGTGAGATTGTCTAAGAGAATGGCACAATTTCACTGATGGTTTTGACCTACTTAGTCTTGTCACATGTTTCAATAAGGGTGATATGGGCTCAATCGACTTTGGTGAAGCTGCCCACTGTGAGCAGAAAAAGGGCTGCGCTACTTTACTGGTGGAATCACATGACTTCAGTTCACTCAGACAAGGTGGTTTTCTCTTAAACTGAAAAATTGTTACATTTGGGTCAATATGTAAGCAGGTGTAAAACATGGAAAATGTTATGATTAGATAACATATTTATTGTTATCTTATATTATATATAAGATATATTATATATTATTGTTATCTTTATCTTATACTCTTTCAGCCAATACAGAAAACGACAATATAAATTTGTCAATACAACCTAATTTAGTCATCATCCTCTTAAAGCCCAGTATGAAGAGGTGCAAATTTACATTTAACATAATATTCCTCCCTGCTTTTTGTTTGCAGTCAAAATGCCAGAAGCCACAATTCTAAACATTAACACACTGAGTGAAGACTGAGTGCGTTTTTTATTTTTGTTTTTTGAGAAATGTGTCAATCATTTTAGAGCTGCCAAAACTTTGATGTTCGGGAAATTCTAAACATGAGAAATAGATGGCAGAGTTGGCTATAAAGAGCTCACAGCTTGGTGCTTTAATCTCCAAACTCCAATTCAATATCTGTTCAGTGTTACTTCTGTCTTTCTATGACAATAAAAAACAATAAACAAACACGCACAAAAACAAACAAACAATGGAGATATTGTAGGCAGTGGACAGCATGAATTAATGTCCCTCTCCTTGCATTTCTTGAAGTTATGATGAGTCAGTATGTCCCTCTGGAAAAATTCAATACTAAAGACAAGGCATTAGCTTCTACATCTGTGGGACTGACAAGACATGGCGAGAAAATTGTGCTGCGCTAAATCAAGTGAACACAGCAGAGAGACTGATGCAGTCAGTCAAATGACCTGAATTTATGACAAAGGATAAAAAACAATCTCATCCATTACCCTTTCAGAGTGGAGTAGTCAGTATTCTATAACAATTATAAACCCCCCAAAAAAACAAATTGTATATCTTGATAAAGAATAAAGAACTCTCTCTACATCCCTAACAGTAAGCTTTGCTTGATATCTCCTGCTGTGGCTTGCAGAGCCCTACCTGGGACTGGTCAAAGTGGATAATGACTTTCAAATCAGCTGGGCGGTCGCCGACTCCATCTGTTGATCCTGCTGCTGGCTCCAGCTGCGGGGAGAAACATGCCTGCAGCCACTCCATGCACGTCATCATTTGGACCCGCTGCATTTTCTCTTCACTGATTCGAAACATCTTACTGCGGAAGTCTTTCACTTCCTGGTCGTTTATGGCATCTAGTTCATGAAGACCTAGAGAGGGTTAGTACAAGGTTAGACAAAAGGTCAACTTTTAAATGTGAAGCCCATTTGAGATATGCTAAAATCATTTTCGATGTAACATATTTCAATGGGCAAATAAAATATTTATGGTAAATGCCAAACAGCGGGTGGTCCAACTGACGGCATACGCCAATGGAAATAAATGTGGTAAAAGGATGAGAAGCACTTGTCTCTAATGAAATTAAAGAGCCAACAAATATTAAATTAACAGTTGGATAACTACAGTTATCTAGTTCTTGTTTTTTTTTGTTTCTTTTCCAAACATTGCAACACAATGCTCCCTTAGTATTTAAAAAAAAAACATTGACCTTCAAAACTTCTCAGGACTCAACAAAAAAAAAGGTCTCTGGACATTAGAAGTGTAGACAGGTTTGGGGATTGTTGGGCTTCTGTAAATAACTTCAGAGTACGGTCTGACCTGCCCTATTTTGGCAAGCGCTGTGAGATAACTGTTGTTGTAATTTAGCGCTTTTTAAATAAAATTGAATTGAAGTTTGTGTGACTGGATTTCAAGATGGGGGGGATAACACGGTAGTGTGTGTGTTACACTTCTGTTATTATGCTTTAATTGAAGTGTGTGTGTTTAATATATGTATTAACTGGTTAGCCAGAGAGAGTGTACCAATACTGTTGAAGTTTCCTCAGTTAAACTCAGAGACCACAGGGAGGGGAAGGGAGCTCTTACACAGCAGTGATCAATCACCTCTGGGTCTACTAAATACTAATAATCATTGGGAGAAAGTCTACAAATTGGATTCGGGGGGAAGACATGGCAGAAGCTCATCCTGTCAACCATCATGCATCTCTACCGGCCACCTGGGCCACAGATAAAACCCAGCTGCTCGATAGCTTTCAAGACTGAATGTTCAGAAGGGGAGAGTTACTTAGCATACTGGAAGAGGCTTTTAGTGTGCTGGGAAAGATCTCCCATCCTACTTACCAACTCATAAGTGCTTTCCTTTATTGGGAATGTCAAACGGGGGCAATAACCAAATCACTCATGAATTCAGAGATGATCTGTAGCTTGAATTTTAAATGTGCTGCGGTGTTACCTTTGCCAATGAGTACACCAATTTTGGAGTCCAACAAACGCTCTGCCCTCCCGCAGTTCCGTATCACCAGCTTAAGGACAGGCAAGAAGGGGCGAACGTCGCACAAGCGACGGGATTCATCCTCCAATTCTTCGTGGACAGCTGCCTGGTTGACACACTCGAACATGTGGCTCTCCATTTCGCCAAGGGAGGGAAACAGGGGGAAGGTCTGAGCCTGCTTCCATAAGAGCTAGAAAGGACCAGAAGAAACCAGAAACCACCAAGATTGCCATTACTTCGTCCATTAACGTCTTCTTAGGATATGTACAAATGGAACCGCATCTATTTTTTTCAGCCGATCATTGTGTACATACAGAAATAAGGGACCACCACTACATTTCCGAGGGAGTCGAGAAATCAGTTATGCAAAGTTTTGGAATCTTTTCGTCTAAATGATTCCTTTAAATTATGATATATATAAGCAAACGCATTTCATGATCAGAAGCCAAAATCAGTCAGAGAGAGGATACACAGCTTCTCAGTGAAAAAACTGGTTGCTGAATACTATATTCAACAGCCAACACAGGCATGATTCATGTCCCTCTACCCCCACAAAATGATCACAGGGTGAGGTGTCAAATAGTGTGTCTTTGTCAAAAAGTTAATCCTGAAACAAGACACATGGCTCTTTGTGGAATATACAAACAACAGTTTGTTCAACAGAAAAAGCTGTTGTTGTTTCTGTCTATTTACTAAAGTAAATGCAATACAGCCTTAAAAATTAAACAGTCAAATGTTAAACTTTTCAATTATTTCTACTGTCTGGGAACACAAATACACCAATGAATGCATGAAATACAGTAATACATACAACCTTCTCATTTTAACAGTTTGACCTTTGCAGGGGTATAGACTTTAATCACTTTGTCTGTAATCCAGGATGTATTTCAGCCCTTATGTTAAACCAAAGCCCCACCTGGCTTCTGCTAAATGCGCCTTTTAAATTTAGAAAAAATGTAACGTTGCCCCTTGGTCTCCTTGGACTTTGCCAGTTCAGCACATATCAAATTCACGGAAAGACGATCTTGCACGTGTCTGTATGACTTTTTTCGATGCACACTCACCCTTATAGACCAATAGGTAAGAAAAAAAGCAAAGAAACCTTGTTACCAAGTGCAAATATAGGCCAATGTGAACATAAATCTGACAACATATCAGGTTATGTTAGAGACCTGATAGGTTTTTCAGAATATGACAAGCAGAAAGTATGCACACACTGTGCCAGACAGCTAGTTTGCTTAACATTTAGGAGTCTATGCTTGTGCCACTGCATCTTGTTGAAGACGGCTGTTGTATATGTGATTTTAGATCTATCAAGTCTTTTTGGATGGATCATTGATTTGTTCGAAAGGTGAGATCATTCCCCATATCCTTATATGCAACACAGGACATACATTAAAAATGTGACATAATTCATTTTAACTTTCCGTTTACCCTGAATCCAACACTCACAGTTAAACTTTATCTTATTGCATCTTCTGGGTAAGACCATGTTGTTCAAAATGGTATCTATCAGCACTGCTCCCAGAGCAAACAATTGCAGAGCCCTAAAAAAAAAGCTAACAAAACACTCGCTCCTGGTATGATGGTAAATATTCATCAAATACTAATTGGAACGTTAGTGATTACTGGCTAATTTCATTGACATTACTCAGCATTGAATAGGTGAAACATTTCAACTAACAAAGGAAAAATCTTTAAATTGCAAGTCTGGTGTCCCTGGTTTCCAATGCTGAAATAGACGTTAGACAATGAAGAATCTTAAAAAACAAGCAAACTATCAAACCAACCGCAGGAATAACCTCTGATACAAACACATTGGATCATGTCTGACTTACTGACAGACTGTCTGATTTTGAGTGTGTGTGTGTTTGTGGGCTAAAGCTTCCGCTTTTCCTTCTTGTGACAAAAAGCCTTCAGGCAGGCGAAGGAGAGTAAACCAACAAAGTGATTATTTTCTTTTAACTTTTCAAAGAAAGTCGAAGCTGGCAGATATTCTTGGAACTCATTCAAAAGTCAGAACAGTACAACTCTGACCTTTAGCGTTAAGTAAAACTTGTGATTAGAAAACTAATTGTGGTCACCAACCAAGTAACCTCACCAGTTTGATGTGCTGAATTGTGGCCTCGTAAGGAACATCCATCTGGATATAGATACCAGTGGGCAGCAAAAAGTCCACAGTGACCTGGTCCGGAGCGTGTCCGGCCACGGGCGAATGGGCCGCCCATATGTCCAGGAGGTCTGTCATGGCAGGAGGCATGGCAAGGAGCACCCAACACCACCTCAACCATAAGGACCTAGAAATAAAAAGGAAAGAACAGACAAAACATCTCCTTTTAGGTTTATGACTACCGAGTCTGCTGACACAACAAAAACCTTTTTATTGAATACATCTTACCGGGACTATTTGTTCTCTATACATTATCCTGATGAGAACAGGGTGTAGTTTGGATCAGTGTGAGACAGTTTAAATGGTAAAATAATGTGAAGGAAACAATAACCTCATCAGGAAGGTTCAAACTTATAGAACAAAAAAAAAAAGACGTGGAAGTTAACCAACCCGGCATGATAAAAGGGAACAATAACTTATTAACCACTTTTTAAGACATATGTGCCACCACTGGGTTGTTGTTTTGACCAGCATGCATTCATTAACAAGAAGGGCATGAACATTTTGGTGTCACTGCGTTCCCTGTGAGAGCAGCCCTGTTCTGAGTGCATTAGGAGGCTGCTGGATTTCATTTGGATGAGGTCCAGTGCTCAGAGGAATGCCCACTAAGCAAACAGAACAAAAAGTCCTGCCTGCCTTTCCTTCATCTGAAAAGCTGGTCACCTAAGAACAGAACGAACACGCACGCACGCACGCACGCACGCACGCACGCACGCACGCACGCACGCACACACGCACGCACACACACACACACACACAAAAACACTCAAACTCGCACAGATGTTTGCATAAATATGCATTTAGAATACAGGTACTGGTAATCCCTTAACAGACATACCTGCATTAGTCTCTCAGTGTCAGTTGGGAAGAATGCAAAAGTCTCTGCCAACAGAGAAAATGTATTTCAGGGACATAAATGCTCACCCATGGAAACTAAATATGCACATAGGTCATGGTAACCTCTGTGAGTCTAACTGAAATATAGAGAGTGGCTTCCAGGCTGTGGCTGTGACTCAGCCCACAGCCTGGTTTTCATTGGGACCCGAGCCTCAACCGCAGTCTGGCACACAACTTACACCTGGATCTTTCTCATGACCTAGTGCTCGCATGACTTTGTAAATTAACCCCCTCAATGGGCCTTTGGTTCATCTCAATCATGGCTTGATCGACCCATTACAAATGGCAGCCCTCATGGCTTCTAATGGTCTTTTCCTTTCTGAGTTAAGTGCTGAAGCAACCGTCAGAATGTTCCAGTATCTGTGGTACACTTGGAACTACGATCTCAGCCACTTAATATTATCAACAGTCCGAATGGAAAGAAGCCAGTGAGAGTGTATGTTGTTCAAACACAACAGCAGACCGCTATCAGAATATCCCACCTAAATAGACTTTGCAGTTCAGTACATGTGATAAGGAATGACAAAGACCTGATAAACATGAAAACACAACCGCGCATATGCAGAACAGAAGGCACAATGCTCATGTATCACACAGACATTTGTATAAGGCTATAATAAGAAAAAGCGCAGAGCACAAATATCCATTCAAACTAAGAACCATGGACCAGACAAAAGTGAGCTTGTTACATCACAAAGGGGCACAGTTACAAACATGAAAGGTAAGTTGACACCATGTCTTTAACACTGAGTGCTGTGGCATTAGGGAACGATGAGCAAGCATAAACATGTCTGTGCATATCAACTGCCGTCAATAATCATGGCTTTTCCTGAGTGACATTTTCACAGCAGACAGCTTGAGTAGTGTCTCACTGTGTTGTGATGTTAACACACCCATTTTCTATCTTTCTCTCTGCCTCCATCTTGCCTGCTTATGTACATGTATTGGAATGCACATACAGTATTGTGCAGGTGAAAAGGGCTTGGTGATGTGGTGGCAGGCAGGCAGAAGTCTGCGGCCAGGTTGGGTTTCAGAAAGAGGAGCAGAGGGGAAAACGGAAAAGGGTTTTATGTGGCAACAGACCGACAGAACACTGCCTGTGTTTGAAGGTGCAGACAAATTATCCCATTTACAGTCTGTGATTGCCAAGAAGGGAAAGGGATCATTTTTATTCTCTCAATCTAAGGATTATCAGTAATAAAAATGATTATCAGAATGTGCCTTGGACTGACAGAGCCTCTTATTATTTTCACCTCATCTAACTGTCATGTCAACTCATCAAATATCTACCCTTTGATAAACAGGGTGTGGCAGGAAATCAAAGGATCTGAGAGAATAAAATGTGAAAGACGAACCGGTTTGTTTTGCAAATAAAAGGCAAACGGTAAACAAAATTCATCATACAGTACACACACCAAAACACAAGTTGAGGGTGAATATTTGCTTCCTCTGAACTAGTGACATGTGATGGTTTTCATGCCCAGATGCGTTTAACAGTAACAGTGCTGTTACTCAGCACTCCCTTTCTAAAGCACTCCGTTTGACAGTAAGACGCCTGTGAGGCTCCCCACAATGGAGTGAGTGTGTCCACACATCTCTGGGTGTGAGTTATCTAAAAAAGAAGGAGCTTTAACAAATGTTTTGTGTGCGCACGTATGTGTGCGCGTGTGTTTGTGTGTAAAAGGTTATGCTCCATGATTAAGGGTCCTGTGACACATTTTCTTTAACACAGTGCTAAAAATAAAGTTCACAAAGAGGATCCAAGACCTTTTCATCCCTTCATTGCAACCACGGTCCTCTGGTAAATGACTATGGAGCTATAGATCTGGCTTTGGCCACGTTTCCATTTATGTGGAAACATTTTGTTTTATGTTTGAATGTACAAAGAAAAACAAAGCAAATGTATAATTTTAGAATCATATTTTAAAAAGGTAAAATTTCTTATGTATTTTTAACAGTTCTAAGTCAATAAATATGAGTTAAAAAATGCAAGAAAATTATTGGCTCTATCTAAATGAGACCTGTGCTTTTATGTCTTGGTGACAACAATAATTTCAGTTTAAGGTACTTAACCACAGTGGCAAAGCAGGGCAAAGTCACTGCTTCTGAAGCTGTGGTATTTGGCACTTCATCACCATATCTCATGCACAATCAAAAAAAAACAACACAAAAATAACCTCACTAATGCCCTGGCCCAAATTGAAGTATGACTGAGGCATTACTGGTGCGGCAAACAATAAAGTTACATGACTGAAACAAAACTTCCAAGTTATGTGATTATATTCAAAATAATCCCAGACATCCATTAGTTCCTACAAAAGAGCCATCTCTTTTTTTCTTGTGGGAATTTGGCCTTGTCCTGTTTTTAATTTAAGGTTAGATGTTGTTCACAACAACTTTTCCAGCTTTTATAGCAACCATCTGGTCATGCTACACAGCCCAGTTCATTCACTCTAAAGCAGTAAATGGTTACAACCTTTTTGCACCTTATCAAAAGATACATTCAGATTATCATGATTTACAAAAGAAAAACAATATAAATTTGTCAAGCTGGTGTGTTATACAGTAGTCAGGTGGGCTGTGTGTTTGTGAACTCTACTCTATTTTGTAATTGACCCAAATAATTCTACTTTGGTAAAGTGACTGTGCTAAGCATTGAAGTATCTAATGGTTTTCAAATCTATGTTTGCCACAGGTTTCATTGCCTAAATGACACATGTTACTTCCTTTACTTTTATATTTACTGCGTCCAACATCTATTTATTGCTACAATGTACCAGTTCCTCCAAAAGGATCAGTTTCATCTGTTATAAAAAACAAACAAACTCTGCAGCACTAAGAAATGATGCATCATGGCTTGAAATAAAGAGGTGGAAGTGGAACTGGATGGAAACCAAACCCCCTGTGGAAAAAAAAAATCTAGATGTATTTAAAGAACACACATCCTCCATCTGAGAAGAAACATCAATGAAGTAAATGAGTGGGTGTGCATATCTCTGCCTGTAAGGGTTGTGCAAAGCAACTCAACCTCCTCCACTGATACCAAGTCATACACCCACTTCTCAGACAGTAAGCAATGACATGAGTCAGAAAGTGAGTGACAAACAGTCACTGGAGAACACAAGTCCAGTGGTCATTCATTAAAAGAATGAAAAAAAAGGATGAATCAGTGTCTGTTATTTTTCACTACTTCGTGTACACTAAATACTTCGTACTTGTTCAATACTTCGTACTTCGAATAATTTGTTAAATATTTGTCTAAAGTGGTTGTGATTCTATAGGTTGCATAGGTGCACTCCATGCAAAATCAATAAAAACATATGAGAACATCAGCAAATAACAGATACCACTCTAGAAATATTCTTGTAGGAAAACAGACAGAAGGATCACAGAAAATTGTGGAAAATCCCCCCAAAAAGCATCACATTTCTGATGGTACATTTATTTAATCAAGATGACATCCTATTCATAAACCTAGTATCCATGATAATAACAAATTAGTGGGGAGGCATTTGGAGAAATGGTAAAAATAGGGTTGAAACATGGGACATTTCTTCTTTCTCAGATTGCATTGACCTGACCTGAAGATTTTCACCTTAAGCTATCAGTGGAAATTGTGTTTCATCAAACTGCTGTGAACAATATGAGAGGGAGGCATCGTCGTTGTTGAAATAACTTGTACTTGGTTTAATTAAAATAAAGATGTTCAACAAACATGTTGGGTCTATGGTACTAAAAGTAATTTGCTCTGTGACACGATGAAGGGCAGATATGAGCTCAGGCTGTTAAGTACGAGTAAACAAAGCTTTAATTTAAAAAAAAGGGACAGCTAGATTTTACTGCTATAAACGGGAACTATAAAATCTTTTATCACAAAAAATAAAGAGAACAAAATAACAAAGAATAGGGGTAACAACTGGGATGTTCGAGCAGATACAGATTTTTGTGCTATTGTTGCAATCTATTTCATCTTTCTCCATCTTCTTCATTTCCTGTCTTTGATTTAATATGTCTAGTGCCCCAATTTCTAATTATTTTAACTGGCAAACTTAATTAGCTGGATTTTACTTCCAACTGCATTATGGTGGTACCCACCATAATGCAGCTCTCTTCCAGCTTAAGCAAAGAAATGAAACATCCCATCTAAGGCGAATACATCCTCTTTAACATCCTTGTCTGAAAATCTCTGGTGACAACAGTGAACTACCGCATCAAAGTACTGTTGTCTGGAACATCATGATCAGACGTTACGCCAGAAGAGAGTGACCGTGAAAGTCTGCGTACTAACTGTATCAAGTCTGAATGAGAAGTCTGAGAGGTATTGCCTTCTATTTATTCATCAGGCTAGAAATAGTTCAGGAGAAAAGGAGAACAATTGCAACACTCATTATTTTTAAAATCATCTCCGTCTATGGTTTAAACATTACTTATTTTTTGTGAGAGCAGGTGTCATACATCTACAACAAATGAAAAACATCTGGAGTGACGCTTCTGACTGAAATCATGCTAGCATAGGGCAGGGGATTGCCTGACATAAGAAACACACTCATTCAACACTTCCTAAAAGGGAACAAGGCAGCTTTCTTTTTTCATTTTTAAAAACAGTTTCTTAGTTAACATCTTCAGATAATCCACTTCAACACCACAAACTAAGGTCCATGTCAAAATGTGGCCCGATAAATGAACCAACCAGAAGTCATTATGTAGCAGTTCAAATATGGATGAGCTGCATGGAATGTTTCATCATGCAGATCGATCTTCACCACAAGAGGTGCAGCTATCGAGAACTAATGATAACAATCTAATTCAGCTGTACTTATAGCTTTGAGAGCACAGAATACTAGATAAAATAAAATGTGACATAATACAAGCTGAATTTGTGACAGAGCCAAATATTTTTATTTCAAGTACAAAGGACATAAATGTTTATGTTATTTGTATTTGAAAGAGCTTAATTAATCATTCTCTCTACACTTTAGAAGTACAGAATTTTCAGAAACGTATTACAAATAATTGCTTTTTAATAAATAACTATATTCATATTACTGATGTGCATTTGTACACTTATTTAGAATTACAAATAAAAACGTAATCATCCTTTATAAACTGAAAACTATGAAATATGACTTCCTGCTATTTTGCATTTGGAAGCTAGCACATAATGCTCCTTCTTCATGGAATGCAGCATAAGTGCAAGAGCCAAACAAAAACAAACCTTTGAACATTGGTGAAACATTTTCCATAAGTAACAGCTTTCTGTAATATTAGCCACTGAACACATGAACCTTGAAAACTTACTGATGAGTGTATTTTGGGCAGGCTCGGCGCAGACTTACATAAAGTGTTAATCAATGACTGTCGGACATCGGACTGTTCTCCATTTGGTGGGACTGGTGACCACGCAAAACTATATGACGTATCCTAATATAAGAATGTAAAGTTGAGAGGTCAACACTCATAAAACCTGCTTCTATGACAGCATGCTTTATGAGGAGTGCCTTATAAACTGCTCTTTTGGGTAGTCTGACAAAAACATATTACAAAAGAAAAATAATTCATTCCAGTTTTGTGGTGGGGAGAAGTGTTATGTCTCCTTTAAATGTTTTAATGTAGAAATACTCTCAGCTATAAAGCAATATGATCTTTGACACTGAATAGTTCTTAGCTTAAGAAAATAACTGACCCATGCAAATTATTCAAACGCAGAGCTTAAAGCTCTGGATGTGTCCTCCTGCTCATCTTATCTGATTCCAAAGAAAAGTCATTAACATATTGCTGGTCATCTAGCAGTAGACAAACTACTACACAGGTGGTCATGTGTTTCTGACAAAAACAGAGGTGTTTGTTCGTCTCCTTTGTCTATATAACCGTCAGTGTTGAAGTGGGAGTAAGCAGGTGTGCCATAAAGGCTGATTCACTTCG